CCCCCATGTCTTCAAGTCCATTAATTCTCTTTTTGTCTAGTTCTCCGGCTGGAGAGCAACATGGAGCCCCTGGATCTGCGAAATGACGGGTCTGCTTACTACAATCCTGGACTCCAGGGGGACAACATTCAGATGACCAGCTTCCCCCAAGGAAAACTGGCCTAAACAGACTGATGAAGACCACACAGACAAACAGACTTCTTAGCATGATCTAAGAATTACCACCAAGTTGAGGATGAAGTGGTCCCTGTATGAGATGGATTGCAGACAGATTTCAGTAGAAGGGAGTTTTGTTTGGTTTGGGGAAATTGAACACAATGCCTTTCTTTGAAAATTCATGCCACAGGTGGGCATTTTTGTTTGCACCTTGGAGTCTAATTTTAATTTACAGATTAATATGATGTGGGGTAGCAACACTCCTGAACTACAGTATGTTTGAAAATACTGTAATCTTAGATGCCTAACATGCGGGACATACACACAAGACAGAGCTGCTATCCAACAGCAGCTATTCACATATTTAACTACACTAAATGAAACAAGTCAGGCAGAAGCCTGGAGAAACACCACCAGTCTTGCCATTCACTGTGGCTAGTGGCTCGCTAGCACATAAATCTGCTCTGTTTGAAAGATCCCAGCAGTGCATGCCTCTGAGCCCACACACCCGCCTTCCTCAATTAGGATACAATTCCATTCTGAAGAATAAAGCAGTTCTTTAGAGTCTGTTATCTGTAGTCTTCAAGTGTATTTGAAATGCAAATGTTATTTGCACACAATACATCCTTGATAGAGTTCTTACAGGATTTGATTAGCACATGTAATTGAAAAAACAAGCCCTTGCACTTATCTTTTATTGCTTTTAGTGCCAGGCTGCAAGAACACATAGAACATCAACTCAAACAGAGATGTGAAAGGCTGTTTATAAACTCATTGGGCACTGCTACATATAAGATAAAAGATGACCTTTGAAAGACCTTCCATTTTTCCATCACCTGCAGAGTTCCAGAAATGGTCTCATCTACAGCCTGGTCTGTCTAGCCTGGAAAACATGGGGGTACAGGCAGGATACATCCTGGAGGGGGTGCTAACTCATGGCAGGGCACATGTGCACATTTATATGCACCCCACAGACACAAATTAACCAAGCCAGCATGTCTTTAGAAGGTAGAAGGCAACTGGAGCACTTGAACACAACCCCTAGAAACTCACAGAGAACATGCCAACTCAATACAGTAGGTATCCCAGGCTCCAAGAGCCATGATGCAGTACCTCATCCCTGAAACTAGTCTGACCATTTCTAAACCGTCAAGAAACACACATGAGCTGTGTAACTATGGATTCTGTTGTGCTCAGAATGTTGGAAATTGTGTTACAGTAAATCTGCACAGTGTTTTGCAGTTTTGTCTGATGGTTACATACCAACACCACATAAAGTTTGGTTTTCCAAGCTAGTGCCTGATGTACCATGTTATATACCATGTTATCGTTATGCTTTTACCATTATTTTACTTTCAGTGGGATTTAATAAGGGTTTACATCCACTGGGTCATAAAGACTAAAGTGACACAGAACTGAAGAAACTGAGAAGCATTGCTCAAGAGCCGTCTCCTAATAAATCCCCTTATC